ATATTGTATTTACTTATCAAATTTTAAAAAAATTTAAAATGATTTTATTTTGATGCTTAAGATTTGAAATTTTCCTTTTTTAAAATCAAGAATTAATTATGGATTTCGACTATAGACAATGTATCTTAGACATCTATGAAAGTGGTAAATGTTTCGAAGATATAGTTTGGATGTCTTCTGAAAATAATTATTGTTATAACGGGGACAAAATAAGATTTTTTGGTTGTTCAGTCTGTAGCACCAAAGTTGAGTCTTAATAGGTAAAAATATATATTTTAAAAAAATTAAGAAATAAAAAAAATAAGACTAAAAAGAAGTTTAAAGTTCTTTTAAAAGAGAAAATTTTCATAAAAAATAAATAATTTGTGCCTTATAAATTTAGATCTTATACATGTATTACATTATTAAAATTTATTTTTACAAAGTTTTACATATTTAATCTCCTATAATCATTAAATATCAATTCTAATAATTAATTTAAAATATAATATTTTGGAGTGAAAATATTGTGATATATTTAAATAATTTCGAGGTATATAGATCTTAGAAATAATCTTTAAACTATACTATTTAATTATGCTGATAATGATTTATATGTAATTTGATGACTTATTGAATTTATGATTATTTTTGGTAATCAATGTGCATTAAATTATCGTGTTATTTTATGTATTTTCATGTTGTACTAGACATTATCAATGAAATGATTTGATAAATTTATTCTATTCAAATTTCTTCTATTATTACATTTTAATCGTTCAATTATCATATGCAATTGCTTTTGCATCAAACTTACTCAAAAAAATATGTTTGACATACAAAAATCAAATATCTTATCACAATTAAAAAATAGAAATATGTAAATAAATAAATTAGCTAAAAATATTTTTATTTTTATTTCTACATATTATTTTTAATGTGCATATTTCAGCATAAGATTTGAGAAAAAAATTAATATATATATATATATATATATATATAAAGGTAGCTTTAAATTTTATTATAAATTATTAGAAATTGCAATTAACCTCAAAAAAAAAAATTTAAAAAGATGCAAATGAAGCCAACATAATACTCATTCATTGGCAAAAAATCAAACCTCAATACTTTTTAATCTTTAAACTTTGGTGTCCTATCTATTATTTTTGTTTTGACTAATTATAGTCAAAAGACTTTATTTTTATCTTGAGAGATTACTAATACTTTAAAATATAACAGCTTAATTGTAAACTAATCTTTGGAAGAAAAATGTGCTTCTTTACTATCAACTAGTGCAATTTGAAATTCCACCCAAATTTTTCTTTGATATTGTGTCTTATACAATCTTAGTTCATTTAGAATTAAGAAATTATATATATATATATATATATATATATATAATACTTTATATCTAGTAGTTGAAATCTAAATTTGTAATAACTAAATACACAAACTTATTATAAATATAAATGAAATGATCTTCTTTTACATAACACTTATTGTTTTGATTCAACTCATTTTTTGAAAAAGAACATTGCTCTTCTAATTCCAACAAGACCAAGTAATTAAATCCTTTTTTCTAAAACAAATTAAAGTCACAACTCAAATATCTATAAATAATAGAATTTAGTTTATTTTGTTTCCAAATCTTAATTATTATTTTTTATATATCTTTTTTATATTATATATTATTGATCATTATTTTTTTTAATAAATATTATAATATTTAAATTATGTATTTAGAATTTTTAATTTTAAAAAATAAAATAAGACATTGTAATAGATTTTTTTGATTACTACTTATAATATACAATATTTAAAATAAAAGACTAAATAATAGACAATACATGAATTTCTTCAAAATTTATATTGGTAAGGTTAAAGTATGTCTTGCTTTGAATTATTATTTAATCTTTAGCAACTAGTATCAAAGACATTAATTACAAAAAAAAAAATTAAAGAAACAATACACTCTTGAATAACCAAAGAAGAGAAAGTAGAAAATTCAAAGATAAAGATATGATTGAAATTAGAATGACTCTTGTCAAATACAAAGATAGTAAAGAGTCTTGAACTAAAACTATAATACAAAAAAGATGTTGATACTAATAAAGAAGTCTTTATTTTTAAATTCTTTATGTACTTTCAAATAAAGAATTATGTCGCAACACTCAATAAGCGTCATAATTTATGTTTAACTTGAAAGACACTTATCTAACTTAGACAGTAAGTTTCTATTATATGCACCACATGGCCAATGTGTAATACAAGAGGCCATCATGCATAACATATGACCAACTTATTGGCCAAGTTTTCAAGCTATTAATTATCTACAAACATTTGTAAGTCAAATTTGTGTCTAAAAAGCTTTAAAAAAACCTTTTAAACAAGATATCAACACTGAAATCTACTTTTATTCACTTCTCTCTAATTCTACTTATTTATATTAAATTAAGTAAATATATTAATAGATATGGATTTTTGTAACAATTCGGTCTTATAAAAGTGTTGAAGAGAGATTCTAATAACCATAGATTATTTCTTAAGTATAAAGAATCTTTTTTATAAATCTTTATAAAACTAAAAAAAAATCTAAGATAGTTATTATAGTATAAAGTAAATTATTAGATATTTTTAAAAAATAATAAAATATTCTTAAATCTTATAGAATATTTTAGTACATTTTGAATATTTTCAGAAATATATAGAAAGCAATACCAATATTTATAAAATTCTAGATGGTTTTAAAATATTTTCAAGGATTTTTGTGCTTTATTTCTTTTATATTTAAGTAAAAAAGTAATAAAATACTATAATAATATAAATATAAATTTTGTATAAATTTAATATATATTTTTTTTAAATAGGATTTTTTGTACTAATTGGTCTTAAAGTGTTAAATAAATTACACTTTGTCACTAATCTATTATTATTATTTTAAAAAAATAAACCAATTTTTTTTTACTTTCTTATTTTTTAGACTTCTTTTAGTCACACTTTTATTATTATGTGAAGTTCTTATAATTAAATTATAAGTATCAAATTGAAGATATTAATTATAGTTAACATTGAATCATTTTTTTATGAAGATGAATATTTAAAGTTTTTATAAACAAACTTAGATAGGTGTAATAAATTTTACTGATTTTCCTAGTGATACTTAATAATAATTTTTTTGGTTTATAGTAGATACAAGGTAGAGAAATTTAGAAGATTATTGTCAAGAAATTTTATTCAAAAAATTATTATAATATTATATCAAATCTTAAATTTTCTTTTGTATTTAAAAATAGCTCTTATAAAAAATCTCTATAATGATAATAACAATAATAGCCTCTATTAATAATCCTAGAAAATTTTAGTTTTAAATTATAAAATAAATATATATTTTTTAATTTACTGCATAAAAATATGATTTATTTAGTTCAAAAAGCATAATTTTCTAACAATCATTAATATCATTTCTTTTTGTAAAAGATAAAAAAATAGGAAAAATTTTCATTTTATATACTTATTTATTAATATTAATAAATAATTATAAAAATAAGATGTTATAAAGAACTTGACAAAAGTATGACATGTATTGATTTAGAAGATGATTTTTAAATAGATTACAGGCTCTATTAGATAATGATTCAAGACTTAAAAAGTATATAAAAGTTTACATGATTTCTATTTAATAAAGATATTATAGATGTTGGTCATTTTATTAAAATGAAAATCAAGTTAACTAAGTTAATCATCTAAATTTATTTCTAAAAAATTATAGTTATTACAAAGTTAAATATATTTATTATAATATATTTTTCTAGATTTCGTCCGGTGATTTGTAAACCAAGTTCGTTCTTCTTGTGTCACTTCCTGAAGAATAATTCTTCGGTGGTGTTCATGCAAGAGAAGAAAACGTTCTCCGGCCCATTGAGATGCATTCAGAAGGCTTTCAGAAGGTGTTTTCCGCCACCGCATTTTTCTCCCCTGCATCTGTAAATGTGCGATGGCTCCCATAGCAAAGTCAAGAACCTACCTCAATTTCTATATAACCATTACTTCTCGCATGTTTCTTTCTGGACGACGCTCATCTTTGGCGGCAAATTAAACCTTCCGATATTGTGTCGAGTTGAGAGGTCCCATCGAACAGAAGACCCTGACTATGACGTATGCTCCATGGGCATTATGGTTGTGATAGTTAATCTGGCTATTTTGTCTGCGAGGCTGAAAATTACTTACATAGTCATTCTCAGGGTGGCATGGAACGACATGGAGAGCATAGGGATTAGGCAGATAGCGGCATGGAATTCTCTGCATTAGACAACATGAATGATGTTCATTCTGCGATGACGAAACACTGCTACAGTATATTTTCCTTCCGAAACACTGCTCTTTAAAGCCCTCAATTTCCAAAAGTATTACTGCTCAGGCCTGTAAAGTTAGATACGGAGTACTGTTCTTCACTAATTCGAAGGAAAAAGATTGTGTATAGCTTATTACTTTGTTCAACAAACCATATGTTCCAAAAATCACCAATGCAATTGTGTACCACAGTATATAACCACGTCTTTAGTGCAGGTCTTGGATGTTATGTATCGGTCCAAGAATATGTCAATTTCTTACTTATTCACCAACGAATCAGTATGCAGAGACACGTTAGCAGAACCTAGACATGCGAGGAAGTGTCTGCATTCAAAGGGTGGCCCTAAGTTGTATTGCGTCACTGTTTTAAGACACAACCAGTCTACCCATATTTTTCATGTTGAGAGAAAGTTCCTGCAGACGCAATCTCTTCTAGCAGTGGAAGATACAGTAATGCTTTGTACTATGAGTAACTTTCCGTACTTCAGCCAAATACATGTGATTCAGAAGTTATTTCAAAAAGAGAAACTTATAAGAGACTGATGGTTGAGTGTGGTGGTAGTACCCTTCAGGATTCAATACATACCTTGGTATTGGGCAGATATATGTTGTCGCAGAACAGACTCGTTTATCAAATTTACCATGCAAAGACCAGTACAGAACGATAGCAATTTCCTCTTATCGTTCGTGTTCTTCCTCCAGCTCTGAACAATCCGAGACTAGGATGTGTCGTATTAATGAAGAATTGACAAATTGGTCTGCAGCTACACAGACGCACAGCTCACTGTTTTCACCAGCGGCACTTCAATCGATGTATGCAATCGATATAGAATAATATTTTCAATCTACATCAAATAATTAAAGAATTTTTTGTTTTTTGTTTTTTTTGGAATTTTTTGACAAGGCATTGCTAAGAGTGCAATACATACACACCGATCGAATAGTTCTAGATGAGCTACATTTCTTCATCATCTTCAACCTCCGGCGCTTCATTGATCATAGTCATCAGCATGTTTATCTGGGCATTCAGCATGTTGTTTTCTCTCTCAACCTGCACAAAAAGAAATGAAAAGGCCAAATCAGTATCAGGAACGAACACGGCCTGAAATACAAATGAAACAGCAAACTCATCCAGCTAGAAACCATGAAGTCATATCCACAAAGAATTCGAAGGGAATCCAACACTGATACATGATGAATCTAAAACCATCTACAATCAAGAAGATAAACAATCAAATATGGATATATCCCAGTGGAAAGAAGCTACTCTCACATGCATACGCTTAGTCCGCTCCTGTTGTAACTGAATTTGAAGATGCTCCATGGTCTTGGAATCTTCTTCCAGTTGCTCGTTCAAGCCACCAATCTCTCGGTCCTACATATAACCGAGGGGTATCAGGAATGCTTCTGAACAATGGCTGAATATACACCAGAGAATTATTGAAGTTTGAATGTTAACGAACATAGAACTACTTCAAACTAAAAGACATAATACCTTACGGTTCATCTCATGGACGGCAATGCGACGCATGCTTTCAACGACATCCACATTCACCAATTTCCTTTTCTTTCCGACAACCCATCCTTGGGGATAAGCAGAAATATCAAAATCAGGTGGAGGTAGAGTGCTGTCAGGAGACCCATCACGAGGTCCTCGATATGAGGGTCCAAGTGGCTCAAACATTGCCCTCCTCCGTTCAGATAACTGGGAGTCCTCCATGCCGTTTTCAATTACATCTGCATCATACTCAAGTAGGTCGACAGGGTATTCCTCCTCTGGTTCGTATTCTGGTCTCCCCTTACGACTAGAGGACCTGGACAACTGCCTCCTAGTGCCATCTTCTTCATGATCAAAAACAGGTCTATCCCTTTTGCTTGGATACCGAGTAAACGATTTTCTGGGTTCATCCTCATAATACTCGTACTCCTGCTCGGGCATTGACCTCGTCTTTCTGCTGCTTGACCTAGACAGATATCTCCTCACATCTTCCTGAGGCTCCTCATACTCATAGGAAGACCTGTCCTTTCTACTGTTAGACCTCGACAAATACTTTCTGACATCTTCTTGAGGGTCTAAATCATCGTACTCAGCATCATTGGGAGATACGTCGTTCCGGTTCATTGAAAGTCGTAGGCGAACAGGAGTTCTTGAAAAATTTGGAGGTGTTCGGACTGCCATCTCGTCACTCCGACGGTAGTCATCCATTTCACCTGAATTCGGGCAGCACTGTCACTAACCAAAATGACAACCCAAAATACAACACTTTGGACAGCACCATAAAAAGGTGAGACAAAAATGTGATAAGCCCGATTGAGTCTCTTTTAGTTCGTTTCCAGACAAATTCACAATATGTGCAAAAAGATAGATGAAGTAGCCCGTTGAGACGTGTCACGGTAGCAGCACCACTAATAGAAACCGCGGACGAGAGACACCACTTTGATGGTCAAGGGTGAGAGTTTCCAAAAACAAATCCTGATAGAGTCGCTCGGAGAATGAAAATTAAGGCCATTGAAACTACAAACTATATCACCTATTGTTTCATGGAAGTAAATAACGTAGCTGGCTGCATTGATTGTTAGTCGAAAAAGAATCCTTTCACCAAACTTAACTTAAGAGTGGAACATATCTGCTTGTCTAGCCAATAATTGTCATTGACTTAAATCTCAAATCGTGCGACATGCGCAAATTGATGCCCTCAAAACAAGAATACCTTTAAAAGGTCCAGTAAGATATGATTAAGTCAGGAAAAAATTCGCCTCAACAGACTTTCATTTATCAGTACTGCTAAGGTTCTGAAGTGTTCGCAAACAGCATCTTTGAAGTTGAAGCTTAAGCCCATGCTCTTCCTTAAAGAGATTCTATAAGCAAAGACTAGAATTTTAGAGTGTTACCGTGCTGTTGCTAAACCCTTGTCTATGGTGGAGTAAGCGTAACTCATCTGAACTGCCCGGCATTACAAAGTTAGGCTTCAAATTAGCGATTAGGTGATGGGTTTACCATTACGAGAGATGGGTTCTAAAAACTCAAATTAAATAAACTGTAAATTTCTAAGCACAGATAAGACAAAATAAAAAGAAGGGTACTACTGGAGTACTAATTAAACTTTTCTACTCTGTTCTGCAGTATCCCTATATACTAAAATGACAAAATAACCTAAATGCGGGGAGAACATCAACTTACAACAACCGCATACTTACATACACACAACACAATCTTATTGATCTGGAAAATCATCGTACATAAGGATATAGCACCCGCGATAATTTCAGACTTATTCAAACCCTTTTTCACCCATGCCGCGACCAATGTTCGCAGATTTAATACATTGATCCAACAGTTTAGTGCAACAATCAACTGCTAGCACTGTGACAAGTTTCCCCTCATCACCAATACTAACATGAAATCAAAACCCGAAGTGGCCGGAATCAATAGCAAAACACGATTGTAACTGAAAATCCCCAGCGCTTCCACTGAACGTGTTGTTGAAGCGATGTCATTAGATGAAAGATGGTCAAAGATCAACTAGCTAACAAGAACAAGCGTAGTATGTCGTCCTAAAAATCCGGCAGCAGATAAGATGAGCATAAAAACTCTCACCATTCGCGCGCTTACGACCACTTGATAAGGCCCTGTACAGAGGATGGTCGATGTCCATCGCCGTATCCTTCTCCCAATCCGCACTCCTAGTTCGAACCTTCATATGTCCAGGTGAAGATCTGTAAAACACCACCGCCCCCCGACGAAGTATTACCAAAGGTACGCTCCTGGCTAGATAAGCCGATGAGATAGATCGCAAAATCACCGATCTCCGACTGCCGACCTAAACAAAGAGCATTCAGTAACTTACGAAAATCTAACTAGAATCCACCAAGACTGATGTCCCGGTCCCAGTGAGAAGTACCCCAAATCGATAGCAATCTGAAGGATGCAGGGAGAAAGGGAATGAGGCTAACAACAAATCCACCGATTGCAAGGGGAAAGAGGCTGCCGGTACCCGCTAGGAAACGCAGAGAGGAGGGAGCAGGTACCGACTGCATGACAAGAGGGGGGGCAACGCTGGCAAAGAAGATGGGAAGAAGACAGTGGGGTGGGAGGGAAGCAGGTAAGGTGAGAAGAAGAGAAGAGAAGAGAGAGAGAGAGAGGAGGAGGAGGAGTGGAGGCTGCGACGAGGATAGGATGGGAATGGCGATGGCGATGGCGATGGAATGTGGGAAGGTTAGAGAGAGAGAGAGAGAGAGAGAGAGAGAGAGAGAGAGACGGGGCGAACAGAGAAACAAGCAGGGATATGCTCGGTGGTGAACCCGAAAGGATGGTTGACTGCCTCCCCCCCTGGTCCACCCTTCTTGTTGGTCTCTCTCTCCCTCCTCTTCGTCTCCTCCTCCTTCCTCTTTCCCTCCCTCCCTCCTAGAGCTCTTTTTACCTTACAAGTCAGACTCCCTCCTTTTACTCACCTTCACTGCTCCCTTACCCTGTCCTCCCCTCTCTCACTCTCTCTCGCTCACTCTGTCCTTAACGACGGACGACTCATCCAGCCACAGGATGATCAAATGCCCGAAATCTTTACATTTGTTTATAAAGGAATTCAGGATGAGCGTAATCATTGCACTCAATTTGTGTCCCAGTGAAGTAGACAACCTGGTCGCCTCCTCTGTGCCACCAATGACTTGTATGGTCGACGTGTTCAGTCTCCACTTTTAAGATCTGCGAGCTTGCTCTGCGATGCAGTATACTTGTTCTGCCTTTTCCCCCCGCTGTTGTTCCGAGCCAGAGTGAACACCCCCTGAATTCATAACCTAGATTAAAGCGTTCCCAATAAATTCCTAGACTTGTGAAGATTTCATTATATTTTCATCAACTAAATTTACATGAAAGAATAAGAAAAAGAATCAGCAATATAATTTTCGGTTGCTATCACCACAACTCAGCTCTCGATGTGTCCTCATATGAACATTCATGCATAAAATTCTAAAAATAAAAATAAAAATAAAAAGGTGAACACGCTGTTTCATCCGCCAGTCTCCTACAATTTGAGGAATACATTGCCAAATTTCTTGCCCACACCTGCATCAGGTGTTAACCCGCTTCCCATTACTACCTACTCTGAACTAGAGCGCTTTGAGTGAGGCCCATCAATGCTGAATTGGCAATCGCCGTAGTTAATTTAAACAGAGTAACGACGAATCTTCAACTGTTAGTGGCCAGCCTTGAGAGCTACTCGTGTAGTAGTCATGGCAAAGCCCGGTTAGAAGTAGTTACTGCATCGAAAGCACTGGCGAACAAGTAATGTTGCTTGTTAATGCAGATTGTAGAGTTAAGTGGGGTTAGTAAATAGAATCTGCAGTAATGGATTCTGGCACGAAGGCGTTTGACAGAAGGAAAGAGAATTGGCCAAGGCAATAAATCAAAGCCAGCGCCACCAGAATGGAGTGTGGATGGCGTAGAAGCAACTTCGTTAATTTGCATCCAGCCAGCTGCTTGCAGTGGATGGGAAAGGTACGTCGCGCCGAATAAGAAGAAGCTGGCTTGGATGGCTGACTGGGTGGTGGGCTGTCTGTCTGTCTGGTTGGCTGGCTCCCTCCCTCGTTCCCTCCTTGACTCGCGCTTAGTTCATGGCCTGGGCCTTGGCCTGCCCGCGCTTTGAAAAGGGGAACGTCGGAGGAGGAGGATGTGGAGGTGGTGGCGATGATTCCCCCGCGCGTAGGTTGCTTACCGTTCCCACTCACGTTCCCAGGTACGTTCCCATTCCGCGGGGACTAGGTCCACAACAGACTTGGTGCCGCGGCCAGTTCCCATCTTCACTTTTATCCCAGCCCTAAATGGAGAGAACAGAGAGAGAAAGAGAAAGATAGAAAGAGAAAGAGAAAGAGAGAGAGAGAAAGAGAAAGAGAGAGAGAGAAAGAGAAAGAGAGAGAGAGAAAGAGAAAGAGAAAGAGAGAAAGAGAGAGAGAGAAAGAGAAAGAGAGAGAGAGAAAGAGAGAGAGAGAAAGAGTGAGGGGGTGGTGCTCCAAGTGGGAAGATCGAGCCACTTCTCCGCACACTCCATTTTCACAACACGTTCCCCCACCCTTCATTCTCTCATCAACAAAAAAACCACACCATTGCAGACTCCCTCCCATCCCTTTATTTTCTAATGTAACCCCAATGTCTTCTCTGCAATTGGTTTTTCCAACCAATCCAAGTTTATGTTTCCCCATGCAAATGAAAGGTGCTTTTTGAATTTAATATTAGTTTTTTTAATCCAAAATATCATTGATTTTTATTCTATATATACAGACACACGATGCAAGTAGATTTTTTTTATAGAGGATTATTATTTATATGTATACAGCATAAAAAAATTATTCAAATTATTTTGTTTAAATCATTTCTAAAAGATTAATTTTTTTGATGATTTATTATACTTCCACATTCTGATTTATATTTTATTTTAAATATACCTATAGGTGCCTAAACACCAAAATCTAATGAAAAATAATATTTATTTTAAATCTTATAAATATGATTTTTAAAATTTTTTTTTACAATCTATACTTTTGGATATAATATTACTATACTTCTTATACTTATATCTAATTTTATTTACAATAATTTCAAGATATTTTATGTAGTTAAAAAAAATGCATTTATGTACTTATTATTGAGGTACTCATATATATATATATATATATATATAGATAGATAGATAGATAGATAGTATTTTAAAATATATCATATGTCTTTCCATTTTTTATTTAAAAAAAACATGTGATTTAATTACATTAAATTACTATGTACATTAAAGATCCATTGTCACTTATTTAATAATTTAATTGACATGATCCTTTGGCATTTTAAACCTTTATACATATAAAATATAACCATTTTTTTAATACTAGGTGGCCAATTTAGTCATCATGGACTTCATACTTAGTTATTAATCTATCATATTATATATATATATATATATATATATATATATATTACTAAGATAGAAGCTTAATGATGCAAATACAAAATGAATTCACTTCTTAACTAAGAATGATTGAAGAGAACTAAACACATAAAGGGAGTTTTATTTTTGGATTCTTAGTGCATAAGTTTATAATTTAATGACAAGGATTTTTTTATTGTAAATATACTAACAATAGCTTACCATCAAGGCCTATTTGATTTAAAGATAATTTTTTTGTTAGGCAATTTATGATTGTTTGGTAGTGCCCCCAACTTATAATACCTAAAAGTTGTCAACTAGTAATAATTTGATGTCAATTGTCTATATATTAAAAAAATATAATATCTAATAGAAGTTATTATTATATCTAAATATTCTTTTAATAGTCTTATTTAATAATATATTAAATTAGTCTAATTTAATAATTTCTATAGTTTCTTTATACTTACAATTTTTTTTCACAAATTAAATCTTTAGTGAAAATATCTCCAACCATGTTTTAAGTCATGTAAAAACTAAGTTGATCTTACCATTCTTAATCTTTTCATAAACAAAGTCATGTTAAATTTTAACATGCTCATTGCAAACTTAAAATTTCAATTTACTTTAAACAAAAATATAAGTCTAATTATTATTAAAAATTATCATAAAATTTTCTTGTAAAAATCTAATGGCTTTAAATAATTTATAAAGCTAAACTACTTCTTTTGTTACATGAGTAGTTGCCATATACAATGCTTTGATAGTAGATAATACAACCATTGATTGTTTCTTGCTATTTCAAGTGACAACACCACCAACTAATAAAAATATGTAATCATTAATTAAACGTCAAGCGTCAATGTTTCTTATATAATATATATTATAAAAATTAATCACTTAAAAATTTAAAGAACTTTTATTGTATTATACTACATGATCTAATGTATTTTTTAAATATTGGAAAACCTGCTTAATAGCTATCTAATATTGTAGACCAAGTTTTTCTATATATTGGCTAATAACTCCCATTGTATATGTAATATCAATTTGAATGCCTATTATTACATAAACTAAGAAGCCAAATACCTTTTGATTCAAAATATTTTTCATTACTTGAACTTCATTATAAATTTGTGAATTCATGTTTCTTAATAATTTACTTTTAGAATCCAAAAGATTAAATATAGATTTATAGTTTTCGATGCTAATTTTTTTAAGAATATTATTGAATTATTTCTCTTAGCTAAGATAAATTTTATAAATTTCTTGGTTTCTTGTAATTTACATGTCTAAGTTTTAATCAATTCTTTTATAAATATTTTATCATAAATCTTGTGACTAAGTGATTTTATTTTATTTTATTTTATTTTATTTGTAAATCACTTGTTGTTGTAGATTAAGATGAAGTCATCTACATATAATATAATGATAATAAATCTATTCGAATTTTTCAATACATAAATATTAAGATCTACATGGCTCTTATTTAAACTTTGAGAGAAAAAAATATTCATCTATTTTCTTATATCATATTTTTAGAAGGCCTATTGTCATGAATATATATATATATATATATATATATATATATATATATATATATATATATCCATTATAATTATTATTTAGGTAATATGAATAGGTAGAATTAGGTAAAAGTAAATTAATTTCATAATATCTTATAAAAAAGCTTTCTAAAAGCTTTTTAAATACTATTTTGATTTTATACAAGATTTATAGTTGATTGGTAGATTAAAAACTTGGTTAATAAATTATTCATGTACCACATGTGTTGGCAGCTTGCAAAAAAAACTAACTATATGGCACCCATATAAAAAACTTGTCATGTAAGTCAAGATACGTGTCATATAAAGTCAACACGTTTTTGGAGGTCCTATAGAACGTGACTACATAGATTCTAAGTAGATAGTATATATAAAAGTAAGAATGAAGTTTTCTTCACCCTTGTCAACTCTTTTCTTGCTTCTAGTCTAAATTCAAGAGTCTCTTGTTTCTTTATCTTTTGGCAATAGCCTTTCTAGTTTTTATTTAATATACATACTTCTTTATTTCTATTTTT